TTTCTCTTAGGCAGTTGCGCATCTGCAACAGATCTCGTATTTCTTCTCTGGACCTTTTCTTTTGTGTGAAAGGATCAATTGACAAATCCAGTTGGGCAGTAAGGCTGTCCTTTGTGGTAATGCAGATGTTGTGAAGTACAATACACGCGAGCGCGGCCAGTTTCACCGAATCTGGTCTACATTCTAGCTTTCGATACAAAACTCTCCACCTGCTCTTCAGTCGTCCATAGGCTCGCTCAGTTACCATTCTTGCGCGGCTTAGACGATAGTTAAAATAGCCCTCTTCAGGTGTAAGGTTAGCATTACCATATGGTTTCATTAACCACACTCTGAATGGGAAAGCAGAATCGCCCAAAATCATCGGGTAAACCTTGGTACCTTCAATGACTTGAGAAATTGATGGTATGATGTTGTTTTCAGTAATGTTGTGCCACAAATCAGTGGACTGGAAAATGATGGAATCGTGTGAATTTCCTGGAAAACCAACACTTGCCCGGATGAAACGATCCTGTGCATCTACAATGGCCATCAATACTATTGAATAAAAGTTCTTAAAGTTATGATACTCTTTACAGGCTTTCAGACCGCCAGGAGGGCACTGAATGGGGATGTGGCACCCATCTACAGCACCTCAGCAGCAGGGGAATTGCCAAAACGCTGCCATATCCACCATTTTCTCTATAATATTCTGTTTGGTGATTGGAAAATGCGCTTGCACCGAAAGTTTCCACAGGTTTCTTATGATCGCTTCACATACTTCCTCTATGATTTTGTGAACGGTCGTCACACCAAGGCCAAACAGTTCCGCAATGGTGTATAGGTAGTCACCTCTACCTAAGCTGTAAAGACTTATAGCCAGCCTACATTCGGCAGAAACGGGCTGCTCTGTGACAAAATCTTTCTCAATATCAGGTCGAAGACTCTTCAAAATTAAGTTAAACGTATTCCTTGATACACGAAAGGTTTTCTTAAATCTTCCTTCGTCATAGGACGCCCAGACCAATTCCCACCAATCTGTGTTTTTATGACTGTGACGACAACTGCGAGGTCTTCGAACGCTAATTTCATCTTCACTTGACTGTAACAGGAGACACGTCAGCAAACAAAGTCGTACGATAAACCTTTTCCTCATTAACACCGATGTAACCATATTACGCCGTAGTTGACGTCGCCGTTGTTTTTCCCTGGAAATTTTCTGGAGCAAAATTGTTTTCAGAGCTTTAGCCCGCGCCATGTTTGTTTCCAAATGACACCTCTGACCAGAGACACTGCATTTGGGAAGAGAATTAAATTCGACCGTATTGATTTCGACGCATAAAACCACGCCACGATTTATGTCGACGGAACGACGAATTTAATGGAATTAAATTCGACTGTAGCGCGACGTATAAACTAGGCCTTAGTCTTTTTTCCCGCCCAGAATTGACCCGCGAACTGATCTTACACAAATTTCAATTATTTTCCTTCCACTTTCGTCGAAAAAGAGAAGGAGAATTTATCAGACAATGGTGACCAATTTACTTGAAATCTATCGATTGTATACAGGTCAACACAAGGCTAATGCTAGTCATATCGAAACTTAAAACGCGTCAATGAAAGCAAGTACTCTACTTCTTGGTTTATATTTACTTGTGTGATCGAAAGGAATTGAATAATACTCTCGCAGCATTATTCTTGATTGAAAAGAAACCAGAATATTCTTGATGAACATCTGACGGTGCGAAAGAACAGCTGTCCTTTTTAATCTCTTTCTCTCTCGTGAATGCATGACTTTCGCTCGTGTGCGCGAGACCTTCTGCTCGTGTGCGCGGTATCTTTCGCTCGAGTGCACGTGACTTTCTGCTCGTGTACGTATGACTGTTTGATCGTATACGCGTGACTTTTCCGTCGTGCTCGCATGACTTTTAGCTCGCGCACGTGTGACTTTTCGCTCGTGCGTGCATAGGTTTTTGCTCGCATGCACGATACTTTCCTCTGGTTCTGCAACTAATTTATTCCCAATATGAGCTTAACTGAGATACGTTTAATTTCAAAACACAGGTAACATGAATTGGACATATTGTATTTTACATCTTTTGGCATCTTTTACCACCCTCGTTATGGCTGGTGCTCAATGCCGGACAGAAATCAGTATAACTGGTATGGCTCTTGATGGTTTTGTCTTCAAAAGAATGCCAGCAACAGCTCCACATGAGTGTGAAGTCCATTGCGAAAGAGAAATCACATGTCAAAGCTATAACTATGTTGTAGCGGAGAGAATTTGCGAATTGAATAACCGTACCAAGGAGGCGAGGCCCCAAAATTTCCGCTCAGACCCTGCACGGTTTTATAAGCGACGTTCTGTGGACAGAGGTATGTGATCAGTTTAAGTGGCTTCTGACAGTTTATATACTTCAGTGTCTTGATGAATCACCCACCAATACAAACGCCCTTCTTATTATGATGATAAAGATGTAACCAAAAATATAGTTAGACCTTTTTGAGCCGGCGAGATGACATGGAGCGAACCACAGAAACGAAATTTGTTCTAAAAGATAACCCTTAATTTTCCAGTTCCCTTGGGTTCCATTCCTGGATTACCAGCGATATCTTGCCGGGAAATAGAGGCGAGTGAAGGCAAATACGACATCAGCAACAAGTACTGGCTGGATAGCAGTTTCACGGGACAGGCAGAGTTGGTTGATTGTAGTGACACAGTGAAACGTGAGTTTTAGGTTCTTCTGCCCTTGTATTACACTCTACTGTATTTACTTCATACTTCAACTATTCATTTGACACTCAGGGCTAAGAGAAAATTAATGGACCACCAGCGAGCCTTTGCTTTCTCTTGATTGTAAAGACGCCTTTCTTCTATTCCATAATGCTCCATAACTCTTATTGTTTGGTTTGTGACGTCACAGTGACAATTCATGATGATGTTCATAACGAGGATGATGACGAAAAGAAAACAATGGCGAAAATGGCGATCAGAAAACAAACGAAAAAACAAAAATATAATACACAATGATCACAATTATTTATCAATTTATCAAATTCCATGATGCTTAATAGTAATTCATGATACGATTTAACAACAAATACGCCAATTCACAAAGAGCGTTTATAACGATAGCCAGTAATATTACTTTCAAATGTCAGTGAGCTGAAAACTTCTGTGGCAAGAGATGTACGCAGACCGTGACACATAAATATACAAACTTGCTCTTAAAGGCGCGGCCAAACGCACGCAACATTTCAACATCTTGCAATATTGTTGGATCGCTTTGTAAGATGTTATAAAGGAGCTGGCCAAATGTGCGCAACGTCTTGCAACATTTTCAAACTAGATCCAACATCTTGCAACATGTTGCTACAGGGTGACTAAACGTGTGCAACACGGTGCGCGCAACAATGTTGCAAGATGTTGCGTGCTTTTGGCTGGGCCTTAACATCATTTGCCTCTAAACGCTCAATATTGTAACCCTGGCAGCTTATTTCACATTAGAGATCACCCCTTATTCAAACTCTGAGGGCATGAGAATAAAGCAACTGATCGACAACTTGAAAAGTTCTTGATCATTCAAATAATTCTCTCTTGTCTACTGTATGTGCATACTAATGATAGGGTGTAAAGGGTTTATGGCTCCCACGATATTTCACGATATTAGGAGGGGATGCGGCCAGAAGTGATGACGATCACTCTGACGATGACGAAAAAGAAAAAGATATCAATCGGATTGATTTATCAAGTTACATCTTGCTTTACATCGATTCACTGCAAAATTAATCTGTAGAAGTTTTCACCACTTTCAATACACTTTTTTTTATCCATTAGATTGCGACGCTAATCCTTGTAAAAACGGTGGAACGTGTATAGAAGTACCCAGTACAAAAACTTACAAATGCAACTGTGCGGATGCATTCACAGGCAAAAACCGTTCAGAATCAACAGTCGTCGAGGGGGAACAAACAAAACCTACTAAGGAATACCAATAGACCAATTTACGATTTATTTTACTAAAATGTCGTTAAATCTCAGCCAAATTAAATCTTAAAAACGATTGCTGAAAACAAGCGAAGTAGCAAAGAGTGTGGCCTTCTCTAACAGTTGTACTTGTTTTCCATTTCGTAGCAACTGTTGCAAGTCTTGATAGAAGCCATGGACAACCTCAAAATGGAAATGACTATGACTTTGAGCTTATATTCAGAAAAACTCAACATACGAGCTTTGTGAAACACGATATGAATAAGAAGTGGGTTGATCACTTTACAGTCTGTGCCTGGATACACACACCAGATTTACAACAGAGCCAAGAGATGACTGTGATAAGTATTTTGAACGAGGATGGTGGCAACCAAAACGTTGTGAGATTGAGAATCGACGGAGAAGGCAACATTTATTTTTCATTTAGAGGTGGCAGGTAAGGAGTTTTTGTGAGCCACAATTATCAGAGAAGAATCATTCACCCTGTCATTATCAATTTATATAGGCGTTTTTTTTTCGTTTAAATAGAACAGACTTTTCCTGTCGATTCTTTTAGCTAGGAATTTTTTTGCTTCAAAGGCTGATTTTAAGACAAGTATATCAACAGTCAAGCGTCCTTTCGTAACAAAATAAAAAAATTAAATGTTTATGTTTAAGTTAAGTAGTACGTGTTTAAAACGAAGAAAAAAAATATTGTAAGCTTTGATAAGATTGTTGAAATGTTAGTTAATAATTACTCACTGATACTGACGTAAATAACTGTTTTAGTATTTACCACACAGAAACCAAAAATATTAGCTTATTTCTGTCAATAAACCAAAAAATGATCGGAAATTAAATTGTTGACGCGCGATTTTGTCTCTTTGGCTGCTTGGAGGTGAATATTACTTGCTGATCAGCGCGCGCGAAAGGCACTACTGGCCTGTGTGCTATATACTAAAATGAAAAGAGCTACATAAATTCAGTTATATTCAATACTCTAGGGGATAAAGAGATTACCTTTTAGTAGATACTTGCGTTTTTTTCCTGAAGGACCTCCCTTTCCAACGTATTCGCTACCAGTTCTCCGAAGAATGAAATGGTCTTCCTCTGTGTTCGTATCCAACCTAACCAGTCTCCTACAATGGAAGCGATCGTAAATGCAGATTTCGGTTCAAAAAAAACTAGCAACGGAGTTAATTACAAAAGCCGTCAGTGGACTCAAGTAATCATCGGACAAAATCAAAACTACTACGGAACTATTAGAAACAACACCCCATTCTATGGAAGGATTTCGAACTTAAACATCTGGTTTAATCTCACTGATCACGATATTACAAATTGGTTCAACGGAGGTCGGAAAAATACCGAACCTAGCATCCTTAAATGGCCACAACTTGGTTCTTCCGAGAGATTTGGAGACGTTCATTTTGTAAAGGTCACTTCTGCTGAGAGACGTAAGTTTAATGGACTTGATACCCTGCCTTATTATCTAACTGCACTAAGTAGATTGCGAATAACGCGCGAATCGAGTACAAATATCCTGCGATATTGTACAGTTGGTTATTTTGTATAGAAAAAACCTGTTTAATCGGTCTACTGCGCGCGCTCCGCTTCTCTATCTGCCTCGCTTTTCCTACTCTTAAAGAAATGCGCATGAAATAAAGCAGTTGGATCATAAATATCTTATCAGATTAGACTCATTGTTTGTAGTTTGACACGCTCTCCGAGCTCGTCAAGATACGGCACAACTCATAAATATACTCAGTGATACTATATACCAAAATGTTTAATATGATATATTTATAGTGCTTAATGCAAAGTTAAATTTATCTAGAAAAAGTGGGTGGGAAGAAATGGAGAGTAGGAAAGTGCTCAAGGACATCCGACTTTGTGTCGTTAACCAATAACCCGAGGACAAGCTATATTTGAAGCACAAAGCAAAGGAAACTGCTCATCAGCCATTAGAGAGGATTTGGAGGTCTGTCAAGGCTTGAAGGAGAGGGGAGGGTTTTGGAGCCCTCTGACGCTCCCCAATAGATTCGCCCACGTCAACACTTTAACGAAGGCTACTAACCTAGTAAAAGCTGTGTTTTTAATTATTACACTAAGTCGAACTGTCGGGTGTATACGTTAGTTATGGTGAATGATTCTTTATTTTTTTGTTTAGAGTGGCGTGACGTTTCAGATGGTGAGGTGAATGTACTAACAACAAATGATGTTTCGGCGACGAAATCTTTTGAAAGGGGATCTGGAGTAGTTATCGAAGTTGAGCGTCAGTCACCAGTCTCTTGTAGCAATGCAATTGATTCGGTCACAGTTGACGGCGTGTTGATATCTGTAAATGGAAGCTGGAAACGAATCAAATATAAGCAGACGTTCATGGGAACTCAGAAATGCTTTGCAATTTTTGGGAGCGTTCCTAACTGGTGAGATACTTACTTCATCTCTCATATTTCTCTTGTAAGTATCGTCCATCTGGAAAGTCGCGGAAAGGGGAGGGTGGGGATACTTTGGTATTCATTAATTCTAAACCTTGAGAAAGACTTTGAAAGGTCAGTGCGCCAACTTTCTTTCTATCTAAGGAACTCGCTGTGCATGGAATTGTTTGGCGAATTCAATTTTCCATTCCCCAACCCCTCCTCGAACTATTTTTTCTTATATTGAGTGAGGAAACATCTGTGTATTTCACGAACTTCCGAATTTCAGTTTTGGAAAATCACTGGGTTTTCTGGCTGTCAACGTCGTTTATTTGGAACGGCTTCAACTCACGTGTTTTAAAGCCCTGAGAAAAAGCAATTACAACATTATCTGGAGAAAAGCAAAAATAACGTGCCATAGAGGACTCAGTTTACGTTTTGGTGTCAAACGCGGGAAAACAAGGGCATATCAGGCTGTATCGTTACTTAAACAAAGCAGTGACTTTTTTATTTTAGCCAAAGAAACTTTTTGCCCAAGTAACAATCCTTGGTTAATTATTTCATCACTACAGGGTCTCTGGTATATTCAATCCCGGTGTTTTGAAATTCGACCTTAATTTGGATGAACTTTGGAAAGAAGAATATCTTGGCCCAAATGGTAATAAACGCATCTAATAAACCTTGTAAGGGATTTAAAGTTAACTGGTAATGTTGCTCAAGGAAGTGTGCCTCATGGGCCTGAAATAGTTTGCTTTAGTAAGTTTTTTCCCTAAATTCTCAGATTTAAATTATGAAACTGTTCAAAAATGACGATGGAACTTCACCGTGTGATATTTAATATGAAACTATTTAAAGCACTCTCTCCTCACCTCTATAAGGAAAGGAATACAGCAGAGTTAAGGCATTGATAAATTTATAAATTTAAGGGTTGTTTGCATTTGGCGACTCTTGTGTCCGCACCACACTCGACGTTACCTTTGCTCCAAAGTCTCACCGTTGCATCAATTTGTTTTGGACAAAAATAGATCATTGTGGTGTGATCTGTAAGACTGTGCTGATATACACAGGAAAAACATCTGTGTAGAATTCAGATATTGATGACAACAATAAGCATTCTGATGATTATACACTGTAATACTACATTAGATTTGTCTCCCTGTTCTTTTCAAGGTAATCATTTCGATGGCGTGAATGCTTTGTGTGGTGATGAACACTTTTGGATGGTAAATCAACCAAATACTCCGGTAGCCGGAGTCAGTCTGAGACGAAAGAGCGGTGGGGCGATTGCCGGGATATCCACCTTTGGCAAGTGTGGAATGTTCAAGTTCAAGATTTCTGATATTCGTGTTCTGGAATAAAAATTCTGTATCGAGTCCTGGCTAATCCAAGTTGTTATTGGCGACACAAGTTGCGGTCCTCTCCCAGCTGATGCTTGTGATGTCATGACAGAATGTCACGTGGCACCCCAAACAAAGGCTTCGAAGGAGAATAAACACGTAATTGCCTTTAGCGCCTTTGACTGGCTAGGACTTGAGCCTGCGATTAATTGATAAGTTTGTGTAGTTAAATCAACTTTTAAGCGCAACAGCACTATGACAGTAAACTGCATGAGAGGCAGAGCTGGATATTACTTTACGTTGAAATAATTAGAGCGTTCGCTATTTTATAGACTCTGATAGTCGAATGAACACAAACTGTTGAGGGAAGACGATCAAGATCTCACATTTAGCTTGTTTTCACTCGTTCTAAGGCCGTTTTTTTCACATCTAATTATAAGAATTAACTCAACAAACAGCCTGTGGCTAAAAGTAGTCATGTTCTCACTTCACTTTAGAGCCGAAAAGTTGCTGGGTGTTGTACTACCGTTGTAATACTTTGAACAAGGTTTGTGGTATGTAACGTTAAAAGTTTTTAGTTCATTCATTCCAAAAAATTTTGTTTAAACTCGTGTTGAAATTATACTAGGGGAGGAGGTACTGGGAACTAGTTTAGCCTTCGCACTTGTTATAGGTAACTTGTCTGTGGATTTTTTACTAAAGAAAATGCTGAAATAAAATTACTTCGCACCGAAAACCCACTTAGTTGTCGTATGGTCAGAAGTTTTCAAATGTTGGTTCGCCACCTGGTGAGTCAGTATGAACTGTTAGTGTGACTCTTAGGGTGCAGAGTATTCTAAGGAATGAAGTTACTTATGCGTTAAAAAGCAGACAGAAGATAATCAGAAAACAAACATAAGTGAATCAGAAGACTTGTTATCATTGTTTGGAACGAAAGGCACTGGTGCCAGGTTTTTTAATATATCACTCGAAGTACAAGTACTAGGTGCTAACGCCATCTTGAATGCTGCTTGTTTCCACAATATATTCTATTCGTGATTATAGTTTTAATTCCTTGGTAACTGCTTGAGAATGTGGTGTGAGATTTTGCCAGACCAGTCACATAGAAACTCAAAATAGAAAAATACCGGATTACAGATTACTCTCGACACTCAAAAGAAAAATTCTCCACTGAGCTAGAATCCGTTGGAAACTAAGTGCATTGAACCGCTTCGGGGAGTTGTTTCGCTCGCTTATTCGCTTATCCGCTAATTTGATTGAACCGAGACCAATACAAGGCTTAAACATGTTTTGAAGCTGCTTTGTTAAAAAAGATCGAAAATTTTTTTCTACATAGAAGCTACTTAAACCGATGTTTGTCGACTTCAGTTGTTGCACATAAAAAAAAAATTAAGTTATGGAAAATAGAGCTCTTCAATTCTCTGTTTATGATTTTCATTTAGTAAAACCCGGTTTAACCAAGCATAGTTTGCTGGTGTGAATGAGGTACAAGAGAGTCACGAATAGGGAAATATTCCTTCTTTATGTTTTTCGAGGAAAACGAAACAGTTTACACACATACACAGGGAACAGCAAGGACGAAAATGACAAATATTTCATTCTTCTTCCTGAGCTAGCTTTGCGATGGGAAAATTTTCCTCGCCAGTAGACATAATATATAACAAAGGAAAATAAACATTATAAAGCGAATGAAGTTGTTTTAATTGAAATATCTGGACTCTCAGGGTGCAAGAGTGGATGGTCGAATGGGATTCCCCGCTTCACCGGTCTAGGTGCTCTTGTAGCGAGGTATTTTATGAGGTCGCCCTTGTTACACAATGCAAGAACACCTGTTCGAGATCAATGAAATATACATTTTTATTTCGATTAAAACATCAGACCAATTCGTCCAGTTGCAGATATATAGAGGTTATATGTTATCAACTATAATTAATTTAGTTAGATTCTGCCAGATCAGTGACATAGCAAATGAAAATAGAAAATTACCATTCCAGATTACTCTCGACATTCAAATGAAAATTTCTTCGCTGAGCTAGAATCCGCTGGAAATTAAGCGCATTGAGCCGCTTTCGGGGTGTTTTTTCGCGCGCTTATTCGATTATTCGATTGAAATGAGACCGAGAGAGTCACGGATAAGAAAATACTCTTTTTTTATGTTTTTCGATGAAAACGAAACAGTTTATACGCAACGTTTAGTTTTGTTTACTCGAGTTTCTTCAGTGGCTATCACACGCACAAGGAACAGCAAAGAACATAAAGGGGAAAGAATGGACGAAAAGAGGTCTTAATTGATATTTTATTGTTCTTCTTGAGCTGGCTTTGCAATAGGAAATTTTCCTCGCTGGTAGAGTTATTTGATGACAGGGGAAAATAAACACAATTAAGCGAAAAAAAGTGTTTTAATTGAAACCTCAGGGGACCTTTAGGGTGCTTCACTGGTCTAGGTGCTCTTGTAGCGAGGTATGTTATCAGGTCGTCCTTGTCATGCAATGTAAGAACACCTGTTCGGCATTAAGGGAACAATGAAATATATAACTAATTCGATTAAAACATCAGAGTAATTCGTTCAGTTTTAGATAAATAAAGGTGATATTTTACCGAATACTATGTAGTAAGATATTGCTTTCGATTTGGGAAATCTATAGCCTTCAAATAGAGCCGCTGTAGTTAAGGGTAACTGTGAAGGACAACATACGTAATAATTTGAAAGATAGAGCTTTTTGTTCGCTACAGCAAGTTTTAATTTCATTAGGCACTCTCTGTCTTCAAATGAAAATAAAAAGGTTCTGGGAATTTTAAAACAATCAACGAGGTGGGATGTTGAAAATGTTATTCTGCGGAGTGAAGCTTGTTTAGAAAACAGAAGTACTCTCTGATAGCTTTGGGGGTTATACGAGGGTTTCGAGTGCTTTCTGTAAGTCTCAACAACACGAATACTTTAGGAGCAGCTTCGCCTCATTGGTTACACAGGAAATTACCTCATAAATATACTTCTTATTTCCTTGCAGAACCTGTAGGGAATGTTCATCTAACATTAGTGTTTACTTTTAAACACCTGCCTTCTATTGTTAATAATTTCTAGACTGCTATTTATGCAGGAGATAGATGGTATAGAGATGAAACACTTTCCGGCTATTCAAAGAAATGAGAATGCAGTTAATATTCTAGTGGTTTAAAGTAAGGAAATAGATACCAAAAGCCGACTGGGGTGAAATTTAAACCAGAGAAAAAACAATCCGTTTTTCCATCTGTTTGCTAGGAAGCTATAACTGCAATCAGTCGGCTAAAGATACAACGAAAGACCCTTAGATTGAAGCTACACGTAGAATTAAAATAGCTAATAGCTAAATAAGCTATGAAGGACTGAATACAGTTTTCTGACATCTTGGAAGGTGAGGAACATTTTGGGTTATAATTTCACTACAAATTTGCTAAGGATTAGCGACAAGAATCACAATTCTGTTATGTTTGATAAATTAGACTTAAGAGAAATTTCCTTTATTTGAATAGGATTTTCAGAATGTGGCCGTTGTCCTAAATATAAAGGGTCGATCAATGTTTTTGGCCAGAAATGTTATTTTTTTACTGTTATGTAAAAAGATTTTCAACTTCGGTTGCTATCCGTGTCCATTCTCTTTTGATACTTTATTGCCAGATTTCGTCATGAAAGACCAAAAAAACACTTCCATACATACACGTAGCATATTACTCGAGATCTTTTCGTTCTTTATCAGTTTGTTGAGCGCTAAATAAACGGGCACATCTTCCTAACTTCGTCTTTTTTCCTGCCCAGAATTGACCCGCGAACTGATCTGACACAAATTTCAATTAGTTTCCTCTCCACTTTCGTCTAAAAAGAGAAAGAGAATTTATCAGACAATGGTGACCAATTTACTTGAAATCTATCGACTGTATACAGGTCAACATAAGGCTAATGCTAGTGATATCGAAGCTTAAAACACGTTAATGAAAGCAAGTACTCTACTTCTTGGTTTATAATTACTTGTGTGATCGGATGGAATTGATAAATACTCTCGCAGCATTATTCTTGATTGAAAAGAAACCAGAAGTTGGAAGCATCTTTCTCTTGATGTATAATTTATTACCGAATATTCTTGATGAATATCTGACGGTGCGAAAGAACAGCTGTCCTTTTAATCTCTTTCTCTCTCGTGAACGCATGACTTTCGCTCGTTTGCGCGAGACCTTCTGCTCGTGTGCGCGGTATCTTTCGCTCGAGTGCTCGTGACTTTCTGCTCGGGTACGCATGACTGTTTGATCGTATACGCGTTACTTTTCGCTAGTGCGTGCATAGGTTTTTGCTCGCGTGCACGATAATTTCCTCTGGTTTTGCAACTAATTCATTCCCACTATGAGCTCAACTAAGATACGTTTAATTTAAAAACACAGGTAACATGACTTGGACATATTGTATTTTACATCTTTTGGCATCTTTTACCGCCCTCGTTATGGCTGGTGCTCAATGCCGGACAGAAATCAGTATTCCTGGTATGGCTCTTGATGGTTTTGTCTTCAAAATAATGTCAGCAACAGCCCCACATCAGTGTGAAGTTCATTGCGAAAGAGAAATCACTTGTCAAAGCTATAACTACGTCGTAGGAGAGAGAATTTGCGAATTGAATAACCGTACCAAGGAGGCGAGGCCCCTGAATTTCCGTCCTGACCCCGCACGGTTTTATATCCGACGTTTTATCGGCAGAGGTATGTGACCAGTTTTAATAGTTTCTGACAGTTAGTTTACTTCGGTGTCTTGATGAATCACCCACCAGTACCAACGCCCTTCTTATGATGATGATAAAGATGCAATCACAAAAATGCTCAGACTTTTTTGAGATGACATGGAGCGAACCACAGCAACGGAATTGCTTATCAAAGACACTCTTAATTTTTCAGTTCCCTTGGGTTCCATTCCTGAATTACCAGCGATATCTTGCCGGGAAATAGAGGCGAGTGAAGGCAAATACGACATCAGCAACAGGCACTGGCTGGATAGCAGTTTGACGGGAAAGGCAGAGTTGATTGATTGTAGTGACACAGTGAAAGGTGTGTATTACACTCTACTGTATTTACTTCATATTTTACTTCATATTTTATATTTCATACATTCAAGTCTACTGAAGAGAAAATTAATGGACCACCAGCGAGCCTTTGCTCTCTCTTGATTGTAACGACGCCTTTCTTCTATTCCATAATGTTCCATAACTCTTATTGTTTGGTTTGTGACGTCACAGTGGCAATTCAGATGATGATGTTGATAACAAGGACGATGACGATAAGAAAACAATGGCGAAAATTGCGATCAGAAAACAAACGAACACACAAAAATGTAATATACAATGATCACATTAATTTATAAGTTTATCAAGTTCCATGATACTTAATAGTAATTCATGATACGATTTAACAACAAATACACCAATTCACAAGGAGCATTTATAACGATAGCCAGTAATATTACTTTCAAATGTCAGTGAGCTGAAAACTCCTGTGGCATGAGATGTTCGCAGACCGTGACATGTAAGTATAAAACCTGCTCTTAAAGGCGCGGCCAAATGCACGCAACATTTCAACATCTTGCAATAATGTTGGATCGCGTTGTAAGATGTTATAAAGGAGCAAAATGTTGCTACACCCTGTAACATCATGTTGCTACAGGGTGACCAAACGTGAGCAACACGCTGCGCGCAACAATGTTGACCGAGCCTTAACACAATTTGCCTCTTAACGCTCAACATTGTAACCCTGGCAGCTTATTTCACATCAGAGATCACCCCTTATTCAAACTCTGAGGGCATGAGAATAAAGCAACTGATCGACAACTTGAAAAGTTCTTGATCATTCAATTAGTTCTCTCTTGTCTATTGTATAGAGGAAATGCATACTAATGATAGGGTGTAAAGAGTTTATAACTCCCACGATTTTTCCCTCTCAAAAGAGGGGATGCGGCAAGGACAGATGACAATCACTGACGATGACGAAAAAGAAAAAGACATCAATGGCATTAATTATCAAGTTACATCTTGCTTTACATCGATTCACTGTAAAATTCATCCTTAGAAATTTTCACCACTTTCAATACACTTTTTTTCGTCCATTAGATTGTGACGCTAATCCTTGTAAAAACGGTGGAACTTGTGCAGAAGTACCCAGTAGAAAAACCTACAAATGCAACTGTACGGATGCATTCACAGGCAAAAACTGTTCAAAACCAACACCCGTCGTGCGGAGTACGGACGCATCCCGTGAGTATAGTAAACTTCATTTTTTTTTCACTTTTAAGATATCCCACGAACTCAACCTGTTATTCCTTATGATGCCATTACAATGGCCGAATGCCGCTTATTCCCTACCAAAAGAAAAGAAAAAGCCTCTAAGATGTCAAAAATAAGCAGTTTTTAAAATATTCAATTTCCAACACAAACCTCTTATTAATATTAGCTTGCGTTGCAGTTGTTTCCTTATAAGAGCGAGGTCTGGGGCCAAATGAACCAAACAAATAACGTGCATGCAATGTGGGGGATGGGGAGGGGACAGCTGGGGAGGGGGAAGAAACAAAACCTACTAAGGAATACGAAGAGACCAATTTACGATTTATTTTACTAAAATGTCGTTAAATCTCAGCTCAATTAAATCTTAAAAAACGATGGCTGAAAACAAGCGAAGTAGCAAAGAGTGTGGCCAGAAACTTCTCAATTTTAATGTAACAGTTGTACTTGTTTTCCATTTCGTAGCAACTGTTGCAAGTCTTGATAGAGTCAATGGACAACCTGAAGATTCAGATGACTATGACTTTGAGCTTATATTCAGAAAAACTCAACATACGAGCTATGTGAAACACCGTATGAATTCGAACAACAACTGGGTTAAAGACTTTACAGTCTGTGCCTGGATACACACACCAGATTTACAACAGAGCCAAAAGATGACTGTGATAAGTATTTTGAACGAGAAGAATGGCGGCAGCCACAACGTTGTGAGATTGAGAATCGACGTAGAAGGCAACATCTATTTTTCATTTGGAAGTGACAGGTAAGGAGTTTTTGTAATCCACAATTATCAGAGAAGAATCATTCACCTTGTCGTTATCAATTTATATAAGCGCTTTTTCTGTCGTTAAAATAGAGAAGACTTTTCCTGCCGATCCTGTTAGCTCGGCATTTTTTTGTTTCAAAGGCTGATTTTAAGACAAGTATATCAACATTCAGTCGTCCTGTTTATTTTAATGTTTATTTTAATGTTTATTTTTAAGTTAAGTAGTACGTGTTTAAAGCGAAGGAAAAAATAATGTAACCTTTGGTAAGATTGTTGCAATGTTAGTTAACAACTACTCACTGACACTGACGTAAATAATTGTTTAGGATATACCACACAGAAACCAAAAATACTAGCTTATTTCTGCCAACAAACCTAAAAATGAGCGGCGGTTAAATTTTTGACGCGCTATTTTGTCTCTTTGGCCACTTGGAGGTGAGTAGTACTTCCTAATCACTTCCGAACCAGCCAATCGGCGAACGCGAAATAGCTACATAAACTCAGTTATATTCAATACTATAGGGGATAAAGAGATTACCTATAAGTACATGCTTGCGTTTTTGTTTTTGAAGGACCTCCCTTTCCAACGTATTCGCTACCAGTTCTCCGAAGGATGAAATGGTCTTCCTCTGTGTTCGTATCCAACCTGACCAGTCACCTAAAATGGAAGCGATTGTAAATGCAAATTTCGGTTCAAAAAAGACCAGCGACGGAGTTAAGTACGAAAACGTTCAGTGGACTCAAGTAATCGTCGGGCAAAATCAGGGCAATGACGGTACTATTACAAACGACACCCCATTCTATGGAAGGATTTCGAACTTAAACATCTGGTTTAATCTCCGTGATTACGATATCACAAATTGGTTCAACAGAGGTCGGAAATATAACAGACCTAACATTCTGAAATGGCCAGAACTTGGTTCTTCTTCCAGGATTGGAGACGTTCATTTTGTAAAGGTCACTTCTGCTGAGAGACGTAAGTTTAATGGACTTGATACTCTGCCTTATTATCCAACTGCATTAAGTAAAGTACGAATAACGTGCGAGTCGAGTACAAATATCCTGAGATATTGTACAAGTGGTTAAGCCTGTTTAACCGGTCGGCTACGTGCACTACGCTTCTCTACCTGCCTCGCTTTTCCTACTCTTAAAGAAATGCGCTTGAAATTAATAAAGCTGGATCATAAATATGTTATTAGAGTAGACTTATTGTTTGTAGTTTGACTCGCCCTCCGTGCTCGTCAAAATACGGCACAAGTCGTAAAAATACTCAGCGATACTACACACCAAAATGTCTAACATGATATATTTGTTGTACTAAATGCAAAGTTAAATTTATCTAGAAAAAGTGAGTGGGAAGGGATGGAGAGTAGGAAAGTGCTTAAGGACACCTGACTTTGTGTCGTTTACTAGGACTTACCAATAACCCAAGGACAAACTATATTTGAAGCACAAAGCTAAGCAAACTGCTCATCTCTAATCATTAGAAAGGATTTAAAGGTCTGACAAGGCTTGAAGGAGAGGCGAGGGTTTCGGAGCCCTCTGACCTCCCCCCCCCTAGATTCGCCCTTGTCAACACGTAAACGCTGGCTATAAACCTACCAAAAACTGTATTTTTAATTATTACACTAAGTCGAGCTATCGGGTCTCTACTTTAGTTATGGTGGGTGTTTCTTTATTTTTCTGTTTAGAGTGGCGTGACGTTTTGGATAGTGAAGTGGATGTACAAACAACAAATAATGTTTCGGCGACGAAATCTTTTGAAAGTGGATCTGGAGTTGTTATCGAAGTTGAGCGTCAGTCACCAGTCTCTTGTAGTAATGCAAGTGATTCGGCCACAGTTGACGGCGTGTTGATATCTGTATCTGGAAGCTGGAAAAGAATCAAATACAAGCAGACGTTCATGGGAACTCAGAAATGTTTTGCAATTTTTGGAAGTGTTCCTAACTGGTGAGATATTTACTTCATCTCTCATATTTCTCTTGTTAGTATCGTCCACCTGGAAAGTCGCGGGAAGGGGAGGGTGGGGATACTTTGGTATTCATTAAGAAACCTTGAAAAAGACTTTGAAAGGTCAGTGTGCCAACTTTCTTTCTATCTAAGGAACTCGCTGTGCATGGAATTGTTTGGCGAATTCAATTTTCCATTCCCCAGCCCCTCCTCGAACTATTTTTTCTTATATTGAGTGAGGAAACATCTGTGTATTTCATGAACTTGCAGTTTTGGAAAGTCACTGGGTTTTCTGGCTGTCAACCTCATTTATTTGGAACGGCTTCAGTTCACGGGTTTTAAAGCCCTGAAAAAGCAATTACAACATTATCTGGAGAAAAGCAAAAATAACGTGTCATAGAGGACTCAGTTTATGTTTTTGATGTCAAACGCGGGAAAACAGGGGAATTTCAGGCTGTATCGTTACTTGAACAAAGCAGTGACTTTTTTATTTCGGCCAAAAGAACTTTTTGTCCAAGTAACAATCCTTGGTTAATTCTTTCATCACCACAGGGCCTCTGGTATATTCAATCCCCGTGTTTCGGATTTCGACCTTGATTTGGATGAACTTTGGAAAGAAGAATATCTTGGCCCAAACGGTAACAAACGCATCTAATAAACCTTGTAAGGGATTTAAAGTTAACTGGTAACGTCACTTAAGGAGGTGTGCCTTATCAGCCTAAAATAATTTGCTTTAGTAAGTTTTTCCCTTAATTCTCAGATTTAAATTATGAAACCGTTCAAAAATGACGACAGAACTTCACCATGTGATATATAATATCAAACTGTTTAAAGCCCTCTCTCCTCACTTCTACAAGGAAAGGAATACAGCAGAGTTAAGGCACTGAAAAACTTATCAATAACAGGGCTAGTTTGTATTTGGCGAATACTTCACTTGTAGTTATATTATTTGATGACTCTTGGGTCCGAACCTCACTCGACGTTTCCTTTGCTCCAAAGTCTCACCGTTACATCAATTTGTTTTGGACAAAAATAGATCATCGTGGTGTGATCTGTAAGACTGTGCTAATATACACAGGAAAAACATCTGTGTAGAGTTCAGATATTTATGATAACACTGAATAAGCATGCTGATGATTTAACACTGTAATACTACATTATATTTGTCTCCATGTTATTTTCAAGGTAATCATTTCGATGGCGTGAATGCTTTGTGCGGTGATGAACACTTTTGGATGGTAAATCAACCAAATACTCCGGTAGCCGGAGTCAGTCTTAGACGAAAGCGCGGCAAGGCGATTGCCGGGATATCCACCTTTGGCAAGTGTGGGATGTTCAAGTTCAAGATTTCTGATATTCGTGTTCTAGAATAAGAATTCTGTATCGAGTCCTGGCTAATCCAAGTTGTTATTGGCGACACAAGTTGCGGTCCTCTCCCAGCTGATGCTTGTGATGTCATGACAGAATGTCACGTGGCATTCCAAACAAAGGCTTCGAAGGAGAATTAACACGTAATTGCCTTTAGCGCCTTTGACTGGCTAGCACTTGAGCCTGCGATTAATCGATAAGTTTGTGCAGTTAAATCCCCTTTTAAGCACAACAGCACTATGACAGTAAACTGCATAAGAAGCAGAGCTGGATATTTCTTTACGTTGAAATAATTAGAGTGTTCGCTATTTTATAGACACTGATAGTCGAATGAACACAAACTGTTGAGGGAAGACGACCAAGATCTCACATTCAGCTTGTTTTCACTCGTTCTAAGGCCGTTTTTTTCACATCTAATTATAAGAATTGACACAACAAACAGCCTGTGGCTAGAAGTAGTCATGTTCTCACTTCACTTTAGAGGCGAAAACGGGAATATATGGATTAGTTGCTGAATATTTTACAGCCGTTATAATACTTTGAACAAGGTTTATGGTATGTAATGTTAAAAGTTTTTTGTTCACTCATTCCAAAAAATTTTGTTTACATTCGTGTTGAAATTCTACCAGGGAAGGAGGTACTGGGAACTAGTTTAGCCTTCGCACTTATTATAGGTAACTCGTCTGTGGATTTTTACCAAAACAAATGCCGAAATAAAATTACTTCGCACTGAAAACCCTCTTAGCTGTCGTATGGTCAGAAAAGACACGTTTCAAATGCTGGTACACCAAGGGCGCAGGGTATTCCATTTAATGAAGTTACTTATGCGTTAAAGACCAAACAGAAGATAAATCAGAAAACAAACATGAGTGAATCAGAAGATGTGTTATCATTGGCACGTTTGGAACGACAGGGACTGGTGCCAAGTTTTTTAATATATCACTCGAAGTACAAGTTCTGGGTGCTAACGCCGCCTTGAATGCTGCTTGTTTCCACAATATATTTCGATTCATGACCATAGCTTTAATTCCCTGGTAACTGCTTGAGAATGTGGTGTGAGATTTTGCCAGACCAGTCATATAGAAACTCAAAATAGAAAAATACCGGATTACAGATTACTCTCGACACTCTAAAGAAAAATTCTCCACTGAGTAAGAATCCGCGGGAAACTAAGCGCCTTGAACCTCTTCGGGGTGTTATTTCGCTCGCTTATTCGCTTATCTGCTAATTTGATTGAACTGAGACCAATACAAGGCTTAAACATGTTTTGAAGCTGCTTTGTTAAACAAGATCGAAAGTTGTTTTCTAAATAGAAGCTACTTAAACCGATATTTGTCGACTTCAGTTGTTGCACATAAAAAAAATCAAGTCAGCGAGTACTTTAATCCTATGGAAAATAGAGCTCTTTAGTTCTCTGTTTATGATTTTCATTTAGTAAAACCCGGTTTAACCAAGCATAGTTTGCTGGTGTGAATGAGATACAAGAGAGTCACGGATAAGGAAATATTCCTTCTTTATGTTTTTCGAGGAAAACGAAACAGTTTACACACATACACGCACAGGGAACAGCAAAGAACACATAGGGAAAAAATGGAAGAAAATGACAAATATTTTATTCTTCTTCCTGAGCCAGCTTTGCCATGGGAAAATTTTCCTCGTCAGTAGATATAATATATAATAAAGGAAGATAAACATTATAAAGCGAATAAAGCTGTTTTAATTAAAACCTCTGGACTCCCAGGGTGCAAAAAAGAAGTATTTTAAGAGCTTATGAGGTCGCCCTTGATTTAAGAACATCTGTTCGAGATTATTGAAATATATATTTTTATTTCGATTAAAACATCAGACCAATTCGTACATTTGCAGATATATAGCGGTTATATGTTATCAACTATAATTAATTTAGTTAGATTCTGCCAGATCAGTGACATAGCAAATGAAAATAGAAAATTACCATTCCAGAATACTCTCGACATTCAAATGAAAATTTCTCCACTGAGCTAGAATCCGCTGGAAATTAAGCGCATTGAGCCGCTTTCGGGGTGTTTTTTCGCTCGCTTATTCGATTATTCGATTGAAACGAGACCGAGAGAGTCACGGATAAGAAAATATTCCTTTTTTATGTTTTTCGAGGAAAACGAAACAGTTTATACGCAACGTTTAGTTTTGTTTACTCGAGTTTCTTCAGTGGCTACCACACGCACAAGGAACAGCGAAGAACATAAAGGGGAAAGAATGGACGAAAAGAGGTTTTAATTGATATTTTATTGTTCTTCTTGAGCTGGCTTTGCAATAGGAAATTTTCCTCGCCGGTAGAATTATTTGATGACAAGGGAAAATAAACACAATAAAGCGAAAAAAAGTGTTTTAATTGAAACCTCAGGGGACCTTTAGGGTGCTTCACTGGTCTAGGTTCTCTTGTAGCGAGGTATGTTATCAGTTCGTCCTTGTCATGCGATATAAGAACACGTATTCGGCATTAAAGGAACAATGAAATATAACTAATTCGATTAAAACATCAGAGAAATTCGTTCAGTTGTAGATAAATAAAGGTAATATTTTACCGAATACTGTGTGGTAATTTATTGCTTTCGATTTGAGAAATCTATGGCCTGCAAATACAGCCGCTGCAGTTAAGGGTAACTGCGAGGGACAACATGCGTAATAATTTGAAAGATAAAGCTTTTTGGTCGCTACAGCAAGTTTTAATTTCATTAGGCACTCTGTCTTCAAATGTAAAATAAAAATATTCTCGGAAATTTCAAAAACAATGAATGAGGTAGGATGTTTAAAATGTTATTCTGCGGAGTGAAGCTTGTTTAGAAAACAGAAGTACTCTCTGATAGCTTTGGGGGTTATACGAGGGTTTCGAGTGCTTTCTGTAAGTCTCAACAACATGAATACTTTAGGAGCAGCTTCACCTCATTGGTTACACAGGAAATTACCTCATAAATTTACTTTTGCTTTCCTAGTAGAACTTGTAGAGAATGTTTATCTAAAATTAGTGTCTACTTTTAAAAACTTGTCTTCTATTGTTAGTAATTTCTAGACTGGTATTTATGCAGGAGATCAAAGGTACGGAAATGAAAAACTCTCCTGCTATTCAAAGAAATGAGAATGTAGTTAATATTCTAGTGGTTAAAAAAAGGAAATAAATACCAAAAGCCGACTGGGGTGAAATGTAAACAAGAGAAAAAACAACTTGTTTTTCCATCTGTTTGCGAGGAAGCTATAACTGCAATCAGTCAGCAAAAGATACAACGAAAGCTCCTTAGAAAGCTACACGTAGAATTGGCTAATAGGCTATGAAGGACTGAAAACAGTTTTCTGACATCTTGGAAGGTGAGGAACATTTTGGGTTGCGATTTCACCACAAACTTGTTAAGGATTAACAATATTAATCACAATTCTGTTATATTTGATAGTTTAGAGCAAAGAGAAATTTCCTTTATTTGAATAGGATTTTTAGAATGTGGCCGTTGTCATAAATAGAAAGGGTCGATCAATGTTTTTGGCCGGAAATGTTATTTTTTTTCACTGTTATGTAAAAAGGTTTTCAACTTCGGTTGCTATCCGAGTCTATTCTCTTTTAATATTTTTCTACCAGATTTCGCCACGAAAGACCAAAAAACACTCCCATACATACACGTAGCATATTACTCGAGATCTTTTCGTTCTTTATCAGTATGTTGAGCGCTAAATAAACGGGCACCTCTTCGTAACTTCGTCTTTTTTCCCGCCCAGAATTGACCCGCGAACTGATCTTACACAAATTTCAATTATTTTCCTTCCACTTTCGTCGAAAAAGAGAAGGAGAATTTATCAGACAATGGTGACCAATTTACTTGAAATCTATCTACTGTATACAGGTCAACATAAGGCTAATGCTAGTGATATCGAAACTTAAAACGCGTCAATGAAAGCAAGTACTCTACTTCTTGGTTTATATTTACTTGTGTGATCGAAAGGAATTGAATAATACTCTCGCAGCATTATTCTTGATTGAAAAGAAACCAGAATATTCTTGATGAACATCTGACGGTGCGAAAGAAAAGCTGTCCTTTTAATCTCTTTCTCTCTCGTGAACGCATGACTTTCGCTCGTGTGCGCGAGACCTTCTGCTCGTGTGCGCGGTATCTTTCGCTCGAGTGCACGTGACTTTCTGCTCGTGTACGTATGACTGTTTGATCGTATAAACGTGACTTTTCCGTCGTGCTCGCATGACTTTTAGCTCGCGCACGTGTGACTTTTCGCTCGTGCGTGCATAGGTTTTTGCTCGCGTGCATGATACTTTCCTCTGGTTCTGCAACTAATTTATTCCCAATATGAGCTTAAATGAGATACGTTTAATTTCAAAACACAGGTAACATGCTTGGACATATTGTATTTTACATCTTTTGGCATCTTTTACCGCCCTCGTTATGGCTGGTGCTCAATGCCGGACAGAAATCAGTATTCCTGGTATGGCTCTTGATGGTTTTGTCTTCAAAATAATGCCAGCAACAGCTCCACATGAGTGTGAAGTCCATTGCGAAAGAGAAATCACATGTCAAAGCTATAACTATGTTGTAGGGGAGAGAATTTGCGAATTGAATAACCGTACCAAGGAGGCGAGGCCCCTAAATTTCCGCTCAGACCCTGCACGGTTTTATAAGCGACGTTCTGTGGACAGAGGTATGTGATCAGTTTAAGTGGCTTCTGACAGTTTATATACTTCAGTGTCTTGATGAATCACCCACCAATACAAATGCCCTTCTTATGATGATGATAAAGATGTAACCAAAAATATAGTTAGACCTTTTTGAGCCGGCGAGATGACATGGAGCGAACCACAGAAACGAAATTTGTTCTAAAAGATAACCCTTAATTTTTCAGTTCCCTTGGGTTCCATTCCTGGATTACCAGCGATATCTTGCCGGGAAATAGAGGCGAGTGAAGGCAAATACGACATCAGCAACAAGTACTGGCTGGATAGCAGTTTGACGGGAAAGGCAGAGTTGGTTGA